ATATAGATCACTTAATTTTTTTAGAATGACAGCATTAATATACTTTTTCTAGGTTATTAGCTTTAAAATGAGTTTAGGAACAAGGTACATTTAATCAATGATAGAGGAACTAGAAATTTTTTTCGTAACCTTTTTGTGCTGCGTTTCTTATATGACCTATATTAATGGATATGGGATTATTTGCTAGTTTAACACTCATTATCTAATCCATATCCTAAGTATATATGTCATTCCGTAACCACCATATTATGCTTATTCCATACACAACCATACAAATAAGACCTTTCGAAAGATACACATTCTGTGCTTATGTACTATATATTAAATAAATTCATAGGGGCCTGCGTTTTTCAAATCCCCAATTATTGGTCACTATGAGTTCGAGAAAAGATTAGAAAAGCAGCACACCCAACCGATACGGTATATATTTTCTATTTTAATAGTATATATTGCGGATTCTCAGCATTAAATTCTGTCTCAATATTCTTTAATTTCCCAAATTCGTTTTTGTAATTTTTTTCTTTTCATTATTGTTCATTGCGGAAAATTTAGGACTAACCTTGCATGGTGCCACTCTTGTAACACTGGTTTAAGGAACTGCCTCCATGAACAAGCAAAGATAAAAAAATTGATGATATTATTAAAGAAGCTCAACTTCAAATTTTCTTCGAATGGGTTGAATATGAAGAATTCGAATAATTGCTGAGGGAGGTTTCGGCAGTGTATCAAAATCAATTTGGAATTTGGGTTATATAATTAGTTTCAATAAAATCAAAGAAAATTAGTTCGAGCGGGGTCAATTAATGATGTTATTCAATTCAAATAATGCAAATTACAATGCAATTCAAGAAGTAAGTGAATATTGACTTTGAATCAATTAACTTTAAAATCAAATTATTTAAATACGATTATGTATTTATATAGATTCAATCTGCCATCATCAATAGCCACTTTAGTAATATGGCGAGAGTACTTGGAATTTCTAGAGATTCAAAAACGGGAAATTATATTCTAATCCTTCGTTTTTTATGAAAACGGTTCAGTATACGATCTAATCGATATTTATGTGATCACTTACCGTTACTTGATTTAACTATTGGATTACAATCTTTACATGGTCGTTACATTCATCGGAATTTACATAGTGGCAACATTTTGTGCGGTTTACATTTATTATATAACAGATTTTGGACGATGTAGAAAAACTACCGAAATTATGGATGATGAAGTGTTTGGCATAATACCATACGTAGCGCCTGAAGTCCTGCAAACTAAAAAGTACATTACTGCCAGCGACATTTACTCCTTTAGAATGATAATGTGGGAAATTTAGAATGGAGAGCATCCGTTTAGTAGCTGTAGTCATGATATCGTACTCATTTTCGATATTTGTGATGGTGTTCGGCCAGCTGTTCCTGATGATATGCCGGAATGTTATCGAGAACTAATGATTCGTTGTTGGGCTTCGGATGCATTGAAACAGCCAACTGCGAGTGAAATTCTTAATACAATTAGAGAATGGGATCATCTTGCAAGTTGAAACAAGTATAGAAAATAGAAAATCCGAGATTCCAATATACAAAAAGTAGTAATTTTATTTTCGTATCGGTATATCTTAAATGTTATAATTATGCGTTTTTATCAATAATAGTTTTACCCATTACTAAATTTTTTAAGTAATTTTACTTGTTTGTTAATTCATTTTGTTTCTTCAGTTACTCGTTTTATCCTCATAAACATATTGAATATTCATTTATGTTCTTTTCTCATGTACTTATTATATTACACTCTCTTGTTGTAAACTCTTCTATTCATTTTATTCTTTCGTAAAGTATTTCGTATTATGCTCTTTCGTCGTGTTCTATACTTATTTATATTTATTTATGTATCTCGTTTT